TCAAATGTACCGAGTAAGCTGCTTTAAGTCCACCATTGTCAGCAATATTTTTACCAAGAGTATACTTCCCATTAACCTTCAGAAAACAAACAAAACACTTTTATAAACTATATCTTAAGACATACATGTATACACTACTATCATCAGTAATAGAGCGGATTTCGTATGAGTGGGAAACGGACGGTACTGTACTGTGTCCAGTGCTCCATTGTTTCACCAAAATTCTGCAGGCCAGGTGCGGTAACCGTGCGGTAACGGTGTCCCACTCATACGAAATCCACTCTAACAACATCTAAAATGGTGTCTATAGTGTAGTTAAACAACCTCCAATATTCTAGTGAGAACACATTGCAAGACACACATTAACTAAGACAATTAGTACATTCTTCTGTCTGCCACTATAGGAAGTCTCCAATTTTCTTGCAGAGACTTCTTTTTATTTGTAACTTGCATAAAAATCTGAAACTCTTACGGCAATGGAAATAACCACATGTTGTCAGAACTTGAATGGAATTAGGACTTACATGTTTTCCAAAGTAGCTGAATTTTGAATACTGTTTAATAAGACAGTCTGCTTTCTTTTCAAATCCATCAATAGATTTTTTTGGTCCACCATGGTGTGCCATAGTTGCCTTTCTTGTCATACATTCGCCCTAGACAATAGATTATAAGCAGTTCAATGCGAGCGACCGCTGTTTTAGTAGACAACAGACTCACTTGCGTAGAGGACAAAAGAAAGCACAAAAAAATGTTGACATTACAATAGCTCTAGAAATTTTAATCTTCTCCGATTCGAGGCTAAATAGCCTGAGCAAGAGTTTGAACCTTCTGGGAATACAGGCTTAGTGCTATTGTAATGACAACATTTTTTCGTGCTTTCTTTTGTTTTTGGTAAGGTCTATGCGCATGAGACACTGTAGTCAACTAAAGCAGCGGTTGTTTGCTTTGAACTGGAAAAAGGCATATTGAGAGCAATTCAGGACTGTAATAAATGTTTATGATAATGCTTATTATTTGTATTAAATCATTTGGCAAACATACCTGAATTATCAAAGGCATGTACTAGTTCATGTCCAACTGCACCACCAATGCTACCATAGTTACAATACCTATTAGGATTGCATTGAAAAGTGTCAATAGTATACCATTAAAAAAATCAATATTAAATTAATAATAACTGTCACATATACTTTGGATATCGCTTGTCATAATATGGAGCTTGTAGTATACCAGCAGGAAATACTAACAAATAATAATATTATCAATAAATATAATTCAGAATTTAATTTTTCATAATGCTTGATTAATAATAAATGAGCTTAAGTGATATGAATTGGGCAAGACATCTGGCCCCTTCAACAGAGGCAATAAAATTGTAATATTCCCCCCTCTTGCTCTTTTGTAAGGGATGCGATCGAGTCCCCATTATGCAAATCGGGCATCAACAGAAAGAGAACAAAATTATGTAAATCTCATGTTGGTGCTTTCATATATAAAAGCATAAGCATATCCATAATCATAAGCCTTTATACCTACCAATCTGATTTCTTGATGGACTGTAATAGGCATTGACAGCTGTCTGTGTCGTCATCAACCATCTATATTAACATACAAAAAAACACTATTACAAGCCAGGAGCCAGAATAGCACACTTGATAAAGTAGTCCATCGGAATTACAGATACCCTTTTTATTGGCAGATATGGTGAGAAATAATTAGCACTCACACATAATAATAAATGAGAACAATATAGTTTATTATTATTTTTTTGATATCCGCAATTATAAATATATTAAATAAATATTAATTAGATTGACTGTAAAAAAACCTGCTTTAAATAAAACAGTCGAAATCAACCTGGTTATTTTTACACTCTTCTCCTCTTGATTTCTGGTACATATGTGTCTGTGTCCTGCTGTCGTCAAGCAGCACTTTTTATTGCATCTTATATCTGTTTATGTCTTTAAAATCTCTCCCAATCTGATCTGCTAACTGACCTTGAATGTTGTCTTTGGGTTTACTGGACTAGCTAAGMTTGTAAGAAGAAAGAAGGAGTTATTTTTAGCTTCTTACTTATGCTTGCGCATGTAGTGCGGTATTCAATATGAGTCATTCAACAACAACAAATTCAAAAAAATCATGAGAAATATCAATGAAACTCACGTTTTCAGATTTTATTTCATTTCCAACTGATATACCCGCATGCAACCAAACCATAACTTGAAATTCGCGCTTCATTCCCACTTCCGCCAGGACAAGCAAGAGCGAGTTAGGACTAGTGACGAGTGACGTAAGCATTCCAGATCACGCCCTTCTCCTCACTGCATGACGTCTGACAACTGTTGTTGAAGCCACTGAAGACGACTGATTCAAGGTGTGGTTGAGAAGTATTCGTTTTCAAGCATTTACAATGCAAACTTCGCGTTATGACATAATATTGAAGGTATTTGGTCAAAACCTTACGATTTATGTTCATTTTTTTTGTAGAATCAAGAGCTCAGTGACGTCTGTAAGTAGAACGCGTTGTCTCCATTCAAGCACAAAGATACAGTTTAATCTCGCTTTATTTTACAAAGAAGCTGTTTAAACTGGCTTTAGATTGAACCTCTACCAGGTAAAATACCTTCAGATACGACTTGAATGCTTTAGTTGTAGTTTGCGATGGAATAATGTTACAATTTGTGGATTTGATCCTCGCTAATTTATGCAAATAAGTACTCTGAAAAACTTATTCAACTGTAAAACTATAAGATGTTTTCCTCCTTTCAGAGCGAATTTGGAAGAGAGATACATCTTTAGTCTTGAAATTGTCGAAGGATTGATAAACACCGGTAAGAATTGTGAAGTAGAATTAACTGTAAACATATTGATGTAAAACTGGATTTCTACAAAATATTTGAAGTATTCAAAATAGTTTGAAATCTCTAAACTATCTAATTGTTCATGCAGAACTTAATTCAGACGCCTGATGCATGTTTTAACAACGAATGGTTGAAAAATTGATGAACAACGGTAAGAATTGTATAAATATATATATAAAGATTAACTGAGTTGAACACTTTTTTTGAAAACATTTTCGATAATTTGAAGTATATGGAGATTGATGTATACTAATGACAATTATTTAATGTTTCAAATATTTTATATCCACACAGAATAAAGATAGAGATATGTAGACATTTATATCAGTAAATTGTTGAAGAATTGATTAGAATTGTTATGTAATAAAACTTTAGATACATTTGATGTAAAAATAACATCAAATGTTTTCAAATATTCATCAACACAGAGCAAATCTAGAAGAGCATTACATGTTACCAGTAAATTGTAAAAGATGGATGCAGAAGAAAGGTACAGTTGCCAAATTAAATACTAATTTTAATGTGCATATGCAAAAAGATATTAAATTTCATCAAGAGGAGGAGTTTTCTTGAGAAATATTGTTCTTGAAAATACCTAAGGAATCATCTCTGGGGTAACTAAAAGTACTGGGGATACTTGTCGGATATCTTAGGGGTAAACATTCATGATCAGAAATCTTTTAGGGTGCCAATTTGGAGTTTCTGGTAATTTGCATTTTCTGCGATCTCTTAGGAATAGCATGTCAAAAAAGAAGAAAAAGAGTGCATCAATATTTTTTATTCTCAATATTTGCATTTTGCAATCTCTTAGATGTTAAAAATCAGTCAGCACGCTCTTTTTTTAAAACTTCCGGTATCTTTTAGGGGTCTTTTGGAAAATTTCTGATAAGCATCCCCAGTACTTTTACCTCAGACCCCCCACGGGGAATCATTCATTCACATTCATTCATATGATTTAGCCAGAACTTGACTGTTCTTGGCAAGTTTGGTCAGTGTGAAGCTGGAGGGTTGAGAAAAAGAGCTCTCGTTTCTTCCCAGTCTCTCCATTCATTCACTGTTTATGTATAAGAGAATCCAGTAAAAACACAGCTTTTGATCCGGAGTCCGTATCCTGGAAGAATCCAGAATCCAAATGTTTGGAATCCAGAATTTGATCTCCTTGATTCATAAACAGTACTGAAATATCATAAAAATGCTATACTTTCAATAATAAATTATTTTAATGCTTTTTATAGGAATTATTGCTACCTAACACTACTACTCTACAGAGTAGGCCTGGTAAAGTTGCGACAGTTTTTCATAAACAGGTGGGATGCCTTGGGTGGCTTTGCTCCGTGGACTGACTGCCCCCAAAATGGTGCTGATTTGTTGTTAAAATTCAAACCTCTTCCTTATGAAAAAGACAAAGTCAAGTCAGGAGACACAACAACATGGGATTTATCTATCTTTGTCAAAGCTCTACTGAAGTCCAGACCTCCATTTGTGCACTTTCCGGAGAGACCTTTGATTGATGGCTTGTCATGTTTGAAGGAAACAAGAAACATCCTTTCCCACACGGAAAGCGCAAGGATTAAATCCACAGACTATCCCAAGCTTAAAAATGATGTATGTAAAGCATTGGAGTTACTAGGTGCTTGCCAAAATGATTTCAAGAAAGTTGAGGAAGGTAATGCAGTATGCATATAGTTTTTAATTTCATACGAACATATTTCATATTTTCTGTTATATTCCAACCAGATGTGCAGCAACCAGTGAGTGAAGTGTTATCTCTAGTAAAACAGTGTGCATCACAAGATACAGACATCCTAAATGGGATTGGTACAAGTAAGTACAAAAGTTGTAATATTAGTCTAAAAACAATTGTATCACCAGTTGAATTTTCAGTTAGTGTTGATGGGTTTTCATGATCTTTTTGGACCTTTTTGATAATACATGTTTTCACATACATTCTATTACTAAGCTCTGCCACCCTTAAATTTTTTTTTGAAAAAATATTTCCAGAAAAACTTGTTCAAATTATGCATTATGATTTTTCTTTCCATTTGTTGACAAAATAGTTTATTTCCTCGTCATCACAAATTCATTTTCATATATGATCTTTGATCCCCAAAAATTTATCTATCCTGTTTATTTTTTTATAATTCCTCTGATTCCTGATTCCAAATGCCATCTTGATCAATGTTATTCTTGATTGTACATTGCAGTTCACAATAAACTTGATGAGATACTCAAAGGAATTAAAACCCTGCAAAAACGGCCGCAATTAGAATGCAGAAGTGAAGGTCAGTGACAACAATATTAGCTACCGTCCAGTCATGATAGAATAAAACAGAAATTATGAATAAAATGTATTATTTTTATAGCCGAACGTTTTCAAACTGACTAATAAAATAATAATCAAAAAATCCTAAAAATCCTAAAAATGCACTCGCGCACGCTTTGATTCAGAAATTTCTTGTTGTTGTTGTTTTTCCCTGTAGTTTTTATTTAAAGAATGTTTTCCGCGGGACGTGTTGAACAAAAAAAACGCTAATTGTGTCATACGTTATGTATTTTCATGCAGTTGAAAAAAAATTATTTTTTTGTTTAGATCTGGAATCATATTCCGCCAACCTCAAGGAAGCGGTGATAAAGAAAACAGRTTTGCTACCGAAAGGAATAAGTAAATCTAGACTGAAAACTGACGATATATTCACAAATCTAACTGTCTACCAAGGCAAACAAAAATCTCTGCAAGAAAGAGTTCAAGAAGATCAGCGCACAAGAAAAACGGTGACCGAAATTGATGAGATTTTTGTTGGCGAAAACGAAGACAACCCGAAATCAATTTTGGTTTCAGGCGAACCWGGTATCGGAAAAACGCTTTTCTCGCACAAAATCCTAAGAGACTGGTCAACAAATTGTATATCGATCCCTAACATTAAGTTTACTTACCTGATAACGTTCAGGCAACTTGTCATGCTTGGCAACAAAGAGCTCACCCTCAGAGAACTGCTTAACCGCTCCCCTCTTCTGAACACAAGCACCATGATGGACGATACAGTAATGGCGCACGCCATTCACCATTCAGAGCAGTTCTTCGTTGTCCTTGATGGCTTTGATGAATACAAAGACCACAACAAAATATTGGGAAGTTTTGAAACTGAATTTGCCAATGATCTTAAAACCAAGATGCCGGTAGCTGCTCTGATCAGCAAACTAATCCAAAAAAAGATCTTGTGCGATTCAGTCGTCATGATAACCTCGAGACCGGGCAAAGCCAGCAAGTTAGACGAAAAACTCCACTTTGACAGATGTGTAGAAATTACAGGATTCTCAGGAGAACAGGTCCTTCAATATGTTGAGAAGTATTTCAACTCTAAACCAGAAGAAGTAAAAAAGATGGCCATGGAGAAAGTCAAAGGAACCGCACATTACATGTCATTTGGTCGCGTCCCTCTGAGGTGTTTGTTCGTGTGCCAAGTCATCGAGTGGGAAATCAAAAACAAAATTACTAGAAATAATTNTGTTTACGCTTCCTTGACTAGAAAACTGAACATGATATCAAAGATGTTTCCTTACTTCCTCGCCGATAATAGTATTACAAAGTAATACCATGTCACTCGTGAAATTAGTGATTAAATTTCCCCGATACCTCGGGAAAATTTGTAAAAGTCCCTCGGGCTGCGCCCTCGGGACTTCCACAAATTTTCCCTCGGTTTCGGGGAAATTTAATCACTAATTTCCCTCGTTCCATGGTATTACTTATAAATGCTCATTGGAAATAAATGTGACTTTGATGACAAAAGAGTAATACCAACAGAAAGAGGACAACAACTAGCATCAAATCACRGCATATCATTTATWGAAACAAGTGCACTTGCAAACATAAACATTGAAAAATCATTCACAACTTTAACACATGATTTCCTATTGGCAGTCTGCCCACCGACTGAAGAAGAGACAGGAAAATTCCCGGGGGGGCACTCGACCCCGTATTAGATAGGTACGTGCCGCCAGCGGTCTAAATCCCTGACCCTGTTTAAGACACTAAAAAGTAAAAATCCATACCCTGTTCAAGACAAATCGGAAAAATAAGGAATAGCTATCTACGCCGCAACCATCAAAACTGCAATTATACTGACATCCATCAAGACAATAAGAAGTTTTTGATAACACGTTAATTCTGGGACAGTGAAACGGTATTTCTACGGAGTTATGAAAATATTACCCTGTTCAAGACACACAAAAAAATTATATCGGTCTCTTTTATCTAAATTGTAGAGYCTGTTTAAGACAATTTCGGGTGAAATGTATACCCTGTTTAAGACAGCAAGACCAAAAACCATACCCTGGCCAGCGGCACGTCCCCGTATAGCAAATATGTGGGATAAATATATTTTTTGTTGGCCTGTACCTCGTACTCCCTCTAATGCACCCCACCCTCTGCCCCACCCCCTGCTTTGAGCGGTGGTTGACTGTATACAGCCTGCATCAATCTTGACTCAATTATTATATTTTCAAGGGAAACAGGGGGTTAAATGCAGAGAGTGCACAGCCCACTTATATATATTATCCTAACATTTCTGCAATAAAGTCCCTTTTAGCAATCTCTTTTACGCTGTGTTTGCCTCAAAACCATGTAAAAAATTCTTTTATTCAGTAACAACCCGTGAAAATGAGATCTGTGATTACAGAGGACAATAAAAATAGTTTAAAATCTCACGAGTTTTAGCTTGATTTCTGAATATTTTGCACACAATTGAGGCTAAACACAGCGTAGAAGAGATCGCAAAACTCAACTAGTATTATGACAATAGCCCACTTTTGTTGCATAGCAACAACCATGAACTAAAAAAACTGAAGATGAGGCTCAGGAAAAACTCCCCAGAGCCTAATTGTCTTCATGTCTTTGAAAGTATTGAAAGTAGGCTATTATTGTTGGGTTCAGTTCAATCTTATATCTGTTTATGTCTTTAAAATCTGTCCCAATCTGATCTGCTACCTGACTTTGAAGGTTGTCTTTGGGTTTACTGGACTAGCTAAGTTTGTAAGAACAAAGAAGGAGCTATTTTTAGCTTCTTACTTATGCCTGCGCATGTACATTCTCGTACCCAGACCCTACTCTGGCAGCCTCTGGCGGCCTGTCGTA